AAAAAAAAAAAAAAAAAAAAAAAATGACAGCTTTCCACATTGAGAACTAGGTAGTTTAAGATGATCATTTAATGAGACATTATTTCCTCTCCATGGTATCTCCTCTACACTTAATTCTTTAGTTCCAGTGCATTAGGAAATCAGCAGCCTGAACTCTTCTTCCTTCTTGCTTAACAGACCATAAATTCCCCAAATTTCAAAACTTACTTGCCTTGAGTTCAGTCTCATCCAACTACCAACGGAAGAACTTTAAGAGCCTTAGGAGAAAAGGAAAGACTGGTATTTCCAAACAAACTCCCTCCTTTCCCTAGCCCCTGAGTTCCATGAAATCTCCATCACTCATATTCACCTCCTCAGATACATGAGTCAGTTTTTAGACTCCCACAAATAATTCTTTTCTGCATTAAAAGCTTCACCTGTTACAGCTTCAAAAACTGCAAGTCATTCTTACTTACATCCGGAAGTCTGTATAGCTTCATTGTTCTCTGTAAAGTCATATTTCTACTCAAGTGAGAAAATTTCACTTCTACCAATTTTCTGGGGTTTAGTGATCGATGCCAGTATCTGAAATACAATAAAGGTTTTTAAATCTAACTGATTTCTAACTCTACAAGTTTCACTTTGTCTCAGCTTGGCTGTTACAGAAGCATTTACTGAATATTTATGTTGTACTAAACAGAAGCCGTCATCCTATGTAATCATTTTATCAGTCAATTTTTTTTTTTTTTTTTTTTTTTTTTTGAGATGGAGCCTCCCTCTGTTGCCCAGGCTGGAGTGCCGCGGCTCAATCTCAGCTCACTGCAACTTCTGTCTCCCGGGTTCAAGTGATTCTCCTGCTTCACCCTCCCGAGTAGCTGGGACTATAGGCACCTGTCACCATGCTTGGCTAATTTTTGTATTTTCAGAAGAGACAGGGTTTCACCATATTGGTCTCGCTGGTCTCAAACTCCTGACCTTGTGATCCGCCTGCCTCGGCCTCCCAAAGTGCTGGGATTACAGGCATGAGTCACTGCGCCCGGCCTTTATCAGTTAATTTTTAATCTCTAAAATACATCCGGAACACCTAGTTATGGTCCTCTGGAGTTTATGAGCTTTCATCTTTTTCACTAAAGAGGAATCTTAAAATTGCAAAAGAAAAATTAATCAGCTGGCCTGATGGCTGCCAGCACTTTGGGAGGCTGAGGTGGGCAGATCACTTGAGGCCCAGAGTTCGAGACCAGCCTGGCCAACATGGTGAAACCCCTTCTCTACCAAAAATACAAAAATTAGCTGAGCATGGTGGTGCATGCCTGTAGTCCCAGCTACTCAGGAGGCTGAGGCAGGAGAATTAATCGAACTCAGGAGGTGAAGGTTGCAGTGAGCCAAGATCAAGCCATTGCACTCCAACCTGGGCAACAGAGCGGGACTGTCTCAAAATATATATATTAATCATACCCAGGTCTGCAGGTGTTTAAAGACCATCACGGATTCTAAAAAAGGCAAACCAGAAAGTTTAAAAACATGAAAATAAAACCCCTAAATTAGTAGCCTTCACTTTTACAGACTGCAAACCAAAGAAAACAACTTTTTGAGAAACGAGCTTAAATTCTTAAGTGATTCCAGCTTGGGCTCTGGGATAAATGATCTGTATGAAAATATACCTGCAAAGTCTAGTATTCCATTTACTTAACGAATGTAATAATTTAATAGGATATAGTAATTTTAAGTTTCATCCTATTTGAGTCAATAAAAACAGTGGTTGGGGGATGGGGAGATAAACTCTGAGGTTTTACGAACAGGTTAGTCTTGTGGCAATCTGATCATTTTCTCACTGAAATAACCTTTGAAAGCTTGGCTAGTGCCGATGAAGTTGTGAAAACAGAGCTTAAGTTTTCTTTGAACAAACAAATACATCTAAGGCTTTTCAATGGATGCTTATCAGACTTTTAGGACACTTTGGTGGTGCTGCAAAGGATGGCAGAAAACTGAGCCTTGGGGTGAAAAGAAAATGGTACAACATTGGAATTTTCAGATTATAACGTCCTACGCTTCCCATGCAGAGACAGTACTCATCTTTCACATGGAATAGACTTAGAAATACAGACTCTGCATCATTAGCAGGAAAACATCAAAAACTTTTTTGTTTTTTTGGCTGGGCACGGTGGCTCACACCTGTAATCCTAGCACTTTGGGAGGCCGAGGTGGGTGGATCACCTGAGGTCACGAGTTCGAGACCAGCCTGGCCAACATGACGGAGACCCTGTCTCTACTAAAAATACAAAAATTGGCTGGGTAAGGTAGTGGGTGCCTGTAATCCCGGCTACTTGGGAGGCTGAGGCAGGAGAATCACCGGAACCCAGGAGGCAGAGGTTTCGGTTAGCTGAGATCATGCCACTGCATTCCAGCCTGGGCTACGGAGTGAGACTCCATCTCAAAAAAAAAAAGAAAAAAAATTTTTTTAAATCATGAAGTAGCAAATGATATACCAGAAATACAGCAGAAAGAATACTGAACTTGGTGATTCTAGGTGCTAGTCTCTATCTCTGCTTCTAACAGAACCGTGGTGAGGCTCAACACATTTGACAAAGGGAGGACCTGAGGTAGGGATGCAGTTCAGGTACCTGCACGTGGCCACTGGCTTAGGAAGAACCACTCCCGCGGTGTATACTGCCTGGAAGATCCCTTCCAGGTTCACTCTTCTGGTGATCTCTCGGATTAGCACTGGGGCTACCCGTTTCGACCTCAGTTTCTTATGAACACAAAGAAAGTTGATTTCTACCATCTTCTTCACACTAAGAAATAAAGATGTTAAAGATTAAGAGTCAAAACAAGATTAAAAATGAAGAGTCAACACATTTTAAAAAATACGATACCCAGGAAATACCCAAAAATAAGAATGCAGGCTGGGCACAGTGGCCCTCGCTTGTAATCTCAGCACTTTGGGAGGCCCAGGCAGGTAGACTGCTTAAGCCCAGGAGTTTGAGACCAGACTGGACAAAACTGAGACTCTCGTCTCTACAAAAAAAATAGAAACATTAGCCAGGCACGATGGCACATGCCTGTGGTCCCAGCTACTTGGAAGGCTGAGGTGGAAGGATCGCTTGAGCCCGGGAAGTCGAGGCTGCAGTGAACCATGATCACATCATTGCACTGCAGCTTGGGCAACAGCGTGAGGTCCTGTTCCAAAAAGGGAAAAAAAAAAAAGAACATGAAGGAAATCCTTTTATTTTTTTTTTTTTTTTTTGAGTTTTGCTCTTGTCGCCCAGGCTGGAGTGCAATGGTGCGATCTCAGCTCACTGCAGTCTCGGCCGCCCAGGTTCAAACGATTCTCCTGCCTCAGCCTCCTGAATAGCTGGGATTACAGGGACCTGCCACCATGCCCAGCTAATTTTTGTATTTTTAGTAGAGGTAGGGTTTCACCATGTTGGCCAGGCTGGTCTTGAACTCCTGACCTGATGATCCACCTGCCTCAGCCTCCCAATGTGCTGGGATTACATGTGTGAGCCACTGCGCCTGGCCCGAAAGCCATTCTTTAACACAGTTTAAGAAAAATATTCTACCACTTAGACATTTCACAAGTTCACACGGAAACACTACTCCCCATATATCCCCGCCGAAATGACTGCCATGCACGGAGGCTCCAACCCTCTTGTTCTAAATACTTTTTAGGACTTTGGTCCATTATAAGTTTTCACATTAGAAATTGGATCAGCTGTGCCTCTTTAAGCTTCCTCTCTCTCTCTCTCTCTCTCTCTCTCTCTCTCTAGCTTTTCCTTTTCTGAGATGAGGTCTCACTATGTTGACCAGGCTGGTCTCAAACTCCTGGCCTCCAGCAATCCTTCCATCTCAGCTTCCCAAAGTGCTGGGATTACAAGCGTGAACCACTATGCCCAAGCCCTCTTTCACTTTCTAAAGCTGTTTTTCCTATAATGTGTATAATTACAGTAATAACTGGGTCATCCCGGTGCAGGATCTCATAAGATGTGGCTCTGGAGTGTGATACAAGCCACCGGGATCCCTGAGAGGGGCCTTGAGCAGACCAGGGCTGGAGCTGCTCTGAGCTACGACCAGCCTCGTAGATGTTCAAAGCCTGCTCCCGGCTCTGCTTCCAGGTACACATTTCGTCACAAAATATTCCTTAAGATCAAATGCTTTTTGCAGTAAATAAGCTAATCTAATACACTGAAAAGTAAAGAGACCAATTACTATGACGTCTTTGACTTTCATGGCTGGATCTTTGACTTTCTGGACTGGAGACCCAGAGTAAAAATGCAATGTATCCTATGGAGAGAAAGCTTTATCTCCCCTAAAAAAATTTTAAGTGATTTTTTTTGTTCGTTTTTGAGATGGAGTCTTGCTCTGTCGCTCAGGCTGGAGTGCAGTGGTATAATCTCGGCTCACTGCAACCTCTGCCTCCCAGGGTCAAGTGATTCTCATGCCTCAGCCTCCCAAGTAGCTGGGATTACAGGCGCACACCACTATGCCCAGCTAATTTTTAAATTTTGAGTAGAGATGGGGTTTTGGCATATTGGCCAGGCTGGTCTTGAACTCCTGACCTCAAGTGATCTGCCAACCTTAACCCCTCCAAAGTGCTGGGATTATAGACGTGAGCCACCGAGCCCAGCAAAGGCTTTGTTTATTCTGATACATACATGTGTGTGCATGTATGAGACTGAGAGGCAGAGAAAGAAAAAAAGAAAAAGAAACCACTGTCCTTTATTTTTGTTCACAGTCCAATATTTTTTTTCTTTACTACTTAATAAACTTTATTTTTTAAAGCAGTTTTAGGTTTACAGCAAAACAAGAGAGTTTCCATAAAGCCTCTGTCTCCAAACATACACAACCTCCCTGACCATCAACAGCTTACTTCAGTAATTTTTTTTTTTTTTGAGACAGAGTTTCATTCTTGTTGTCCAGGCTGGAGTGCAATGGTGCCATCTCAGCTCACTGCAACCTCCACCTCCTGGGTTCAAGCGATTCTTCTGCTTCAGCCTCCTGAGTAGCTGGGATTACAGGTACATACCACCATGCCCAGCTAACTTTTGTATTTTTAGTAGAGATGGGGTTTCACCATGTTGGCCAGACTGGTCTTGAACTCCTGACCTCAGGTGATCCACCTGCCTCGGCCTCCCAAAGTGCTGAGATTATAGGCATGAACCACTGCACCTGGCCTGCATTCAGTAATTTTTAAAGGCCTATTCTAAGTGCAATTCTTGGAAAAGAAACACATAAAAATGGTATGGACAAGCTTAAACACATACCTGTCATAAATCCGAATGTTTGCTGGAATGGCGCTTATGAACCCGACCAGTTTTTTATTTGAAGACACTCTGACCCCACAGTGCCACTGCAGGAGCCAGCCTGGTGGACGCAGAGCCCTGAGGTCACAATAGACAAGAAAACAGGCACCAATTATTGTCCAAGAATACAGGAACAGGCACGGGAGTCCCCAGTTCAACAGCACCTATCCACGACATACGTGACCAGCGAAACTTACCACAATAGGAACTCGGGTGAATAGTCAAAGCGAAACATATCGTCATCATCTTCCACGTAATTCTCATTTAACAACGTGTATAACTCCTTGAGCTATAAGATAAAAGAAGTGTCCTATCCATGGTGCTCAGAACCAACTCAGAAGCAACCTGTGTGAAGGCAGGCGTTGAATTTAAGAGGTTTTTACTCACTCACCACTTCGGCATTACTCAAGTCTAAAGTGTCCCACATAAAACCCTGTGGCAAAGAATATGGTTCTTGGCGAACGTTGTCTTTATCTGGTTCAATTGCACCATGAGATGTTATGACTTCATCTGAACAGGGAGAGAAAGAGGAAAAAGAAAGGCAAGAAGAGAGAATATTTAATGACAAAGTATTTTAACCATCCAAAGTGGTCAGTGACATAAGCAAAATCAGACTCAGGGCCCTTGGGTTTCATATAATTTTTTTTTTTGAGACAGTCTCGCTTTATTGCCCAGGCTAGAGTGCAGTGACACAATCTTGGCTCACTGCAACCTCCGCTTCCCAGGTTCAAGCAATTCTCTGCCTCAGCCTCTTGAGTAGCTGGGATCACAGGCATGCACCACCGCACCCCGGCTAATTTTGTATTTTTAGTAGAGACGGGATTTCCCTGTGTTGGCCAAGGCTCGTCTTGAACTCCTGATTGTAGGTGATCTGCTCACCTCAGCCTCCCAAAGTGCTGGGATGACAGGTGTGAGCCACCACGCCTGCCCTGGGTTTCATAGAATCTTTAAAAAGATGCTGTTACATTAACTGCCTTTGAACTGAAACAAGAAAGCTAGGCAGTGGTGTGAAATAATTGCTGTTTCATCAATTATTTTTCTTTTCTTTTCTTTTGAGATGGTGTCTCACTCTGTCAGCTGGGCTGGAGTGCAGTGGTGCAATCCTGGTTCATTGAAGCCTCAACTCCTGGGCTCAAGTGATCCTCTTGCCTCAGCCTCCTGAGTGGATGGGACTACAGGTGTACACCACCTGCCCGGCTAATTGTTTAATTTTTTTGTAGAGATGGAGTCTCACTATGTTGCCCAAGCTGATCTCAGATTCCTGGGTTCAAGTGATCCGCCCATCTCAGCCTCCCAAAGTGCTGGGATTATAGGTGAGAACCACCATGGCTGGCCTATTTTGCCAATTAAATAAAAGGAGAGGCCAGGTGCAGTGACTCACATCCCAGCACTTCAGGAGGCTGAGGCGGGCATATCACCTGAGATCAGTAGTTCGAGACCAGCCTGGCTACATGGTGAAACCCCGTTTCTCCTAAAAATACAAAAAATTAACCAGGCGTGGGAGTGGGGGCCTGTAATCCCAGGTATTCCGGAGACTGAGGCAGGAGAATCACTTGAACCCAGGAGGTGGAGGTTGCGGTGAGCCGAGATCGTGCTATTGCACTCCAGCTTGGGCAAAAAGAGTGAAACTCCATCTCAAAATAAATAAATAAATAAACAAACAAAATAAAAGGAGAAATCCTTTGTCAGACAATGACAAAGACGATATTACAAGACAAAACTTTCTCTGAGTCTCAAGGCCTACAATGCAGCCTTATCTACACACCGCCGTAAGCAACGTAGGTTTCACACGCCAGCCTTGGGAGCTTTGTTCTTTTTACTGCATTTCTACAAACTGGGAGAGGCAAGGGCAGCAGTGACCTCCACCCCCTCCCGGCAAAACCTGAAAATAATTTCAAGGCTGGTTACTTCTCCTTGTCCGAACCCCTAGCAGCACAGTGCAGGCCATCACAATTCCTAGTGATTTCCACCAAGATGTCTTTTCTAAGTCATTCTCTGCAGAGCTTCCCAACACGGCAGGACTGAAACCCAGGTTCTTCCCCATGGCCGCTGCCTGCCTCTCCACACCCTCCCTGCCCCCTGCTCCTAGTGATCTGGCCATGCTGCCCAGGGCTGGCCTCAGCTCAGGGCCTTCCTGGTGCCTTCCCTTGGGTTGAGGCCCTCTGGTCCCCAAGGGACTGGCCCCTTGGAATTCTCAACAGAAGCTACGTGTCATGTGTCACTTTCTCCCAGCATCTCTTCCTGACTAAAGCCTTTCTCTACCTCAGTATGTCGCCCCTCCACTCCTGCCTGGCCACCTTTTGTCCTTCATTTCACCACTGTTTCAAGCTGTGTGTACTGGGCAGTGCGGGGCATTTAATAACAGACAATCAACAGACACCTGCTGAATGAGGGACCCTCGGGGCCCAGTCCTTCCATCATGGAACCTTACATACATTTTTAATACTCCAGGCCGGGCACAGTGGCGCACGCCTGTAATCCCAGCACTTTGGGAGGCCAAGGCGGACAAATCCTGAGGTCGGGAATTTGAGACCAGCCTGACCAACATGGAGAAACCCTGTCTCTACTAAAAATAGAAAATTAGCTGGGAATTGTGCATGCTTGTAATCTCAGCTACTCAAGAGGCTGAGGCAGGACAATTGCTTGAACCCAGGAGGCAGAGGGTGCAGAGGGCCGAGATCACACTACTGCACTCCAGCTGGACAGCAAGACAAAACTCCATCTCAAAGAAAAAAATACTCTAATGGGCTGGGTGTGGTGGCTCATGCCTGTAACCCCTGCACTTTGAGAGGCCAAGGCAGGTAGATCACCTGAGCCCAGGAGTTCGAGACCAGCCCAAGCAACATAGTGAAACAACATCTCTATAAAAATATACAAAAGTTAGACTGGTGTGGTGGTGTGCACCTGTGGTCCCAGTGACATGGGAGGCTGATGTGGGAGGAGCACCTGAGCCCAGGAGGTGGAGGAGGCTGCAGTGAGCTATGATCATGCCACAGTACTCCAGCCTGGGTGGCAGAGTGAGACCCTATCTAAAAAATAATAATCATAATAATACTAGTAATGTTGCAAGTGTGGGGAAATTGGCTGTTTTTATTGGGATAGAAATTGAACTAAAATAATTGTTACCGAAAGCTCATGCCACCACCTAATACTGACATTTTAAGAAGAAAAATATTCCTTTTGCATAGATTTCAAATCTGTGGTATGAAACAAATGACATATGCGACATTAACTCTCTGTGTTTGTTTTTCTTTTCTTTTTTTCAGGTGTGACTCCAGACAGCATCCAAAGAGGAGATTTCCAGTCTCTTCTCTGGGTTTTATGGAGACTTACTGTACCCTTCTGTGTTAGCCTCTTAAAGCACTGGGTCAACCTTAAAAGGGCACAGGAAAGGGCGTGTGTTTGTCTGTTGGTGTTCATCCAGCTTTGTTTCTGGGGAATAAAAAAGGAAAGCAGAAAAGCATACCTAGTTTAGGTACCGGTTGTGTGTCCCAAAACTGGTACCTGTGCTTTGCAGCCTCGTCAATGTTCCTGACTGGGCCCTGGCATGCGGATAGCAGCTCCATTGCTCTCTGGATGTCCTGCAACTTCTGCATGGGGACACTGGGATTCTACGACAGCAAAGACAGATACACAGAACATGAGAGAGCGGCCGCTGGTCTTAAACTCGGGCAGATGCACGTGGATCTGCCTCAGAGACCACAATCCCTAAACACTAACAATCCTCTGCGAAGCCCGGTCAAGGCCATGGGCTTGCATGTTATACATGAAAATAGAAGCAAAACTTCTGTTAAGGGTAACAGTTGTAGAGTTGCAGTGGGGCTGTGGCAGTTTGGGGAATCTAAATTGAAGCATGCTTTGCTTCAGTTTCCCATCCATCTACAAATTGTCCCCAGTATTACTCCTCTGGGGGAGACGTGCAATGCATGCATGACTGTCATCCAGCAGCCAGGCAGCCACGAGACTTGGGGGCACTGTCAGGGTAAATGCTCTGCAGAAGCAATGAGGGGATGAGGGAAAGAATTTCTAGAATGGAAACACAGAAGAGAAGAGAGGGGAGGGGAGGGGAGGGGAACAGGGAAAGGGAGGGGAGGGGAAGGGAAAGGAAAAGGAGAGGGGAGGGATAAAGGGGAGGGGAGGGAAAAGGGGGGGGGGAGGGGAAGGGGGAGATTGCAGCGAGCTGAGATGGCACCATTGCACTCCAGCCTGGGCAACAAGAGTGAGACTCTGCCTCAAAAAAAAAAAAAAAAAAAAGAAAGAAAGAAAGATGGAAGGAAGGAAGGCAGGCAGGCAGGCAGGCAGGCAGAAGGCAGGGGAGAGAGAGAAGGGGTGGGGGAGGGAGGGAGAGAGAAGGAGAGGGTGGGGGAGGGAGGGAGGAGGAAGGAAAGAAGGAAGGGAGGAGGGATGGAGGGAAGAGAGAGGGAGGAAGGGAGGAAGTCAGAGGGAGGAAGGGAGGGAGGAAGGAAGGAAGGAAGGGAGAGAGGGAGGGAGGGAGAGACGGAGGGAGGGAGGGAGATCTGAACTCAGTGCTGAACTGGGATGAAAATGATCAAGAAAGGAAATCTCTAATCATGCCCCTTCCTCCTGGCCACAACCTGCCCTTCTCCTGACCCTCCTGATCCTCTGGAGACAATCTCTCCCACCAGAAGGATGAGCAATTTCCTCTGTACTTCAGATCCTGGGCAACCATAGCCTGTTGTTCCCAAGCCAAGTGTTGGAAACTGGACTACTTTTTAGGTAAGCAGCACCTTTAAATTCTAAAGTTCCTTTCTGAAAGCCAGTACTCCTGCTGCCTCTTGAAGATTCCCCAGTTCTTTTTTTTAACTCCTCAAATAATGTAATAATATATGGAACATGAGACTATTTGAAATGAGAGGGCAGTGCAGAGGACTGAATATGGAAATCAATGACTTTTTTCAATATGTCAAATTACTGAGAAATTGTAGAACGTTGATACCATGCAAAGAATATTCTTCACTGTGATTCAGAAAGTGGTTAGAAGTTTCAGAATCCTTTGGTTTTGCTGTATGTCAACACAGAGTGGACACCGTGGAAAGGTACAATCAACCCTTAGAAGTTTATAAACAGCAACTCTGGACTTCTGCTCACTTGGAATCTGAAATCTGTGGTCTGGAACAAATAATTTTACCCTGGGAAGCTTACTCATCTTACACAGTACAGAACAGGGTTTGTTTCATGCAAACACTGTCCAGAACCCTAGGGAAACAAAGTTCTGAAGTCGAACTGGAGGCAGGTGAAAGTCTTCTTGTCTCTGCTTGGAAGTCTAACAGCACAATCCAAAATGGCCACAGTTTTTGTAAGCTGTTTATCTTACCTTTGATTAACACCAAAATCATACAGGTCCTACCTTAATGACACATAAAATTTCACAAAATACTTCTCCTTTTCTCCTTATTACGTCTTTGGGTGACTTCTTTTCCTTGGGTGTCTTTTAAGTCTCCAACATTAAAAGGAGCAAATTTCTAGCAAAATGAAATTCACGTGTATCTGAACTCCAACAACACATCTATTAGAAGACCTTACAATTGAGATCACCGAATAGTGACCTAATAATGCTTAACTGTGCCTTAGCTTAGCTTAAATTGTCAAAGTTGAGGCCAATCTTACAAAAATACATCTACAATGACTATAATGAATGTCATGGTCATTTTTCTTTCTTGATTTTTTTCCCCTTGATTTCTTTCCTGATTTCTGAGTTAAATCTTCTAACACTAATATATCAAACAAAGTATTTTGCAACAGGCATGACTCAGCACCTTTGTTCCATGTGGCACAATGGCCAAAATAACCAGCTCCATGAGGAAGCCTTCAGAGTGGCTTATCTTAGAAGGTCTGCCTAATGAGCTCATCAGGTCGGCCAGCACTCTCTACATGAAATGTCCGTTTGTCAACTATTGACATCCCAACGCTCACTATTTAAATGCTTTCTTTCTTCTTTTCCTTTTCTTTTTTTTTTCTTTTTGAGACAGAATCTTGCTCTGTTGCCGAGGCTGGAAAGCGGTGGCATGATCTTGGCTCACTGCAACCTCCCAGGTTCAAGCAATTCTCCTGCCTCAACTTCCTGAGTAGCTGGGATTACAGGCATGTGCCACCAGGCCGGGCTAATTTTTGTATTTTTAGTAGAGATGGGGTTTCACCATGTTGGCCAGGCTGGTCTTGAACTCCTGACCTCAAGTGATCTGCCCACCTCTGCCTCCAAAAATGCAGTGATTACAGGCGTGAACTACCACATATGGCCCTACTGAAATGCTTTCTGAAAGTAGATGCAAATATACAAAATTTCCAAACCCACAGGGACAAAGCAGGAAGAATAGCTCAGCTATGATCATTTCTTCTGTCCATTCACCTCCCATGGTAGCACCCCCTGGGGAAGAATGAGTGTGCGTTAGGCCAGGTGAGAGGAACATCCGCCCTACACTAACTTCCCATGATTGCGCTCCCATGTAAGAGGCAGGTCTGTTCTCTTTTTCTTCCACATGTATTCTCTGTGGCATACTAACCATTAACTATACTCTTTACCCATTAATTTTCCAAATGTAATACTTTGGAAAAAATATCCAAGTTTTATAACACAAAGAAGCCTATAAGAATCCAGACAAATATCATTTTTATTTTTTTCCTGTGTGTAGACCAGAATATTCTGTAATGCAGTCCACTGTAATTTACAGTGCTATCTAGAGCTGGCATAAACTTAAAGGAAAAGAGCCCCAGATTTTAAAAATGCAATGGAGAAAATCCCATCTTAAGATACTACTGACTTGCTCCTAATTAAGAAAGGAAATTCCCTACTGTGATGGTTAATACTGGGTGTCAACTTGATTGAATAGAAGGATGCAAAGTACTGATCCTGGGTGTTTCTGTGAGGGTGTTGACTGAATTGAAGGATGCAAAATACCGATCCTGGGTGTTTCTGTGAGGGTGTTGATTGAATTGAAGGATGTGAAGTACTGATCCTGGGTATTTCTGTGAGGGTGTTGATTGAATTGAAGGATGTGAAGTACTGATCCTGGGTGTTTCTGTGAGGGTGTTGATTGAATTGAAGGATGTGAAACACTGATCCTGGGTGTTTCTGTGAGGGTGTTGATTGAATTGAAGGATGCGAAGTACTGATCCTGGGTGTTTCTGTTGCCAAAGGAGACTGACATTTGAGTCCGAGGGCTGGGAAAGGCAGACCCACCCTTAATCTGCGTGTGCACCATCTAATCAGCTGCCAGTATGGCCAGGATGTAAAGCAGGCAGAAAAATGTGAAGAGAGACTGGCTTAGCCTCCCAGCCTACATCTTTCTCCCGTGCTGGATGCTTCCTGCCCTCAAACATCAGACTCCAAGTTCTTCAGTTTTGGGACTCGGACTGGCTCTCCCTGTTCCTCAGCCTGCAGACGGCCTATTGCGGGACCTTGTGGGCATGTGAGCTAATACTTAATAAACTCCCATATATATTCCATTATATTCCATTAGTTCTGTCTCTCTAGAGCACCCTGACTAATACACCTACCATATGCCAAGAGATCCCCACTGCTTTGCTTGGCTCTAGTTGCTCATAAGTGACCAGAGAGAGGGGAAAGGCTCATAATTTCTAGATATGGAAGGGATGGGCAGAGACTGATGGTGATGCTGGAAGCAAGAGGAGATGTCCACACTGCAGGTCAGGGACGCTGTGTTTATCTGACGAAGCAACATTTAGAAACGGGAAGGGTATTTCACAGGCTTCTGGTGGTGTCCGCTATGAGTTACCTTGGAAAACTATGTCTAGAGGGTAGAATATTTATTACCTGAGAACCCAGCTGAAAGCTAGGGAGGAAGATTTCATTTTCTTCTCGCCCTGCAGTCAGCCAGGAAAAAAGTGGGGCAAGTCATTTTCCTTCTCAGTGATTCCTGGTCCTTTTGTGTAAAACAGGGGGCAACAACAACAAAACTACCTACAAGGCTCACTTCGTGGAACACAACAGCAACTCTGCATAAGAAAAAAGGAAATCCACAAAGCCTGCAGAATGGTAATAACTACCATACATATATATACGTATATGTATGTATACACATTGTGCGCTGTTTTAGAATGTAAAAACTCTTGAATGAAGATGATCGAACTGGAACCTCAAGATCCAGCTGTGAGTAGAGGGAAGATAAGGAAGGGCTGAAGGAGGTGCAGCCCCGAGCAAAGGCACACAGCTAGTGAGCCAGGGGCAGAGATCAAGCTTTAGGTCTCAGAAGTCACCTCTTGAGCTGTTTCCACAACACCACATGCTACTCACATTTATTTATCTGGAGACACCTCTCACTCTGTCACCCAGGCTATAGTGCAGTGGCGTGATCTTGGCTCACTGCAACCTCCACCTCCTAGGCTCAAGCTATCCTCCCACCTCAACCTCCCAAGTAGCTAGGACTGCAGGTGCATGCCACTGCGCCTAACTAACTTTTTGTATTTTTAGTAGAGACAGGATTTCGCCATTTTGCCCAGGCAAGTCTTGAACTCCTGGGCTCAAGTGATCTGCCTGCCTCGGCCTCCCACAGTGCTGGGACTACAGGCATGAGAAATCATGCCTAGTCTACTCATAATCATTTATTTGTAGGTACAATCATCAAAATCATCTCTGTTTTGTGATATTTCTAATTCTACTCCTTTTCTTTTTCTTTTTTTTTTTTAAAGCCAGGGCCTCTCGCTGTTGTCCAGCATGAAGTGCAATGGCGTGACTGTAACTCACTGCAGCCTTGAACACCTGAGCTCAAGGGATCCTCCCACCTCAGCCTTTCAAAGTGCTGGGACTACAGGCGTGAGCCACCGTGCCTGGCTGATTCTACCCTTTTCACTGTGAGTTTCTTGCATCAAGAGGGCTTTGTGTTTCCCAGAGGCCCAGCACACCGGGTGCCGGGGGTTGGCTCCACAGGCAGGGGTGCCTGCCATCTGCGCCACCAGACAGACACCCACGCAGTACAACTGACCCTCTTCTTGGCCAGCCATCTGCCAACGTGGGGCCCAGCTGGACAACTTCTGCTTTGGTCTAAACTAGGAGAATGTGAGGAACTATTTCCTACCCTTGGCACAAGAACGAAGAGCGACCGCTGCAAACTGCTTTGATTCAAAGTCAACGAGAGACTTACCCACAGCTGCTCCCGCTGAGATCTGCTGCCAGATGGTGTTGTGCTATTCAGGTAATTAGACAGACACCCAGAAAAATTACAATGTGAATATCTTCTGAACTAAAAGTAACCAAATATTAAAGTGTAATTTCAAAAAACCCTAACAACTCACATTGAGACTTTCTTCTAAAACAACAATCTACATACAAATTCACTGAGAAAAGGGAAAAACACGGCAGGTATCCACACACACAGAAAAGCACAGTGTACCCCTTCATTATTTGGGTGCCCAAGTCTGTTTTAAGGAAGCTGTCAAGAGCTTCCAGTTACTACTGCTATTCAACACACAGTCACAACAAAGTCTCTACACATCTGATCCAGCGGGGCGCTACGCTGCGTAAACCCACTCATATGCACGAGAAACCACAGAGGGGAAAAAATAAAACAGAGCTCTCACTTTCGAAGGCTGCTGAATTTTAATCTCCTGGGAATCAGACGCCGAGTCCGACTTGGTGCCTCCAGAATTTGGTTTCTCCTTTTTTCTCTTCTGCTTCTTCTTTTTCTTTTTGGCTCCCAAATACCCTCCAGGACTTCTGCGGGAAATGCAAAGATGGTGAAACCAACCAACAAATGAAAATCATTAAATGAAATTGATTGGCATACAAGTAATCATTTCGCAAAAAACAGATGTTATATGCAGTGGAAAATAACTGTGTTAGGATGTAAATGAGAAATAAAAGGTATTCGAGTTAAGGCATTAACAGGCAACGCAGAAGAATATCGGTCCCTGCTCAGTCATCCTGCAGGTGCTTAGATGTCGCCGAAGCAGGAAGACTGCAGAGAAAAACCACATTTTATAACTGAAGTAAAATTGTTTCCACAGTTATCACTACTCTCCTAATCTACTTTTAAGTCGGCTTTCTGGAGGAGAGATACATGATATAAAAAACTCCATTGTAAAGATCTCTTGGGTACAACAAAACACTAATCTTGAAGCAACAGAACTAAACAAACTGCTTTTCTGCAGAGGAGGAAAGGTTTCCTGATACAGATTTTTGCTAGGAGAGCTAATAATGAAAAGCTCTAAGTGTGCAGCTACAGAGAGACCCTGTCTCAAACAAACAAACAAGCAAACAAAATACAAAGTGCTAGCTTTGCTACTCAACATCTAGGTTATAAAGGAAATTTTCTTTCTACTGGTTATTCATATTTTACAGTAATGAACTTTTCGATTGATTGATTGATTGAGACAGGGTTTCAACAT